AAGAAGAAGAAGAAGAAGAGCAACCAGATCAGAGATTGTGATTGCATTACAAGTTCGCAATTGAATAGAACAAGTTCTTCTAATTGACTTAACATGACACATTTAGTCCGAAAGCATCAACAAGCACTAATTTGGCAATCATAGTAGAGAAATATCAACATATATAGAAGTTTTTCATTTACATTTATTGAGAAAAAGCTTGAATGATGAAACAGACTCCTTGACATAACGTCGAGTCAGAGTTTATCTGCCATTAGGCTACAACAGATCAAGAAATTTAATCTTGGTTCGTCTGTGCAATGCATATTAAGTCCTAGTAGTGATCAAACAACGCAACATGAATCCCCTTTCTTATGTCCACTTTATAATAGAAATTCTTCAATTTTTATTTATTTATTTANTCTTCAATTTTTATTTATTTATTTATTTCTCCGTGGAAAAGGGAGGATGGACCTAGGAGACCTTTTCAACACTACACAAACTATCATATTTTTGCCATAGCCCATGCATATAACCCCATGAGAATGCACTGTCTAGGGAAAGCAATGGACAGATATACATAATTATCCTAGAGAGAGAGGTTGATCAACAATTGCAAAATGTAGATAACTGAAAATGCATTTGAACCTTTTGTGATTTAATGAGCCTTGTAGAAGCATAACAAAAACAAAGAATACGAGACAACACAATAGAAGTATATATACACTTGAATCACTTCCAGTCTTCCAATGAGGTTGATTAGCAATTGTACAAAGTAGATAAATGAAAACACCTTCGAACATTTTGTAATTTAATGATCCTTGAAAAAGCATAACCAAAACAGAGACATACGAGCCGACTCAATAAAAGTATAAAACAAGGCTATATACAATTAAATCACTTTCAATGAGGTAGATCAACAATTGCACGAAGTAGATTACTGAAAAGGGATTTGAACCTTTTGCAATTTAATGAACCTTGTGAAAACGAAATTAGGGACCTAGCTAATCCAATAGAAGTATGAAAAAGAGCTATATACACTTAATCGTTTTCAATTATCTTAACTAGTTTGTCCCTAATCATATTCAATAAGTCCCACCCCTTTAGTTTAGTAATTCTCACTATTATGAACTTGTCCAAATCATTATCAACCAATTCAAAACATTATCCATGAATCTTCCTATAGCAATCAAAGAATCGAGCTCAAACACATAATTATCAAAATAAAGCCAAAGTAAAATTCCCCAAAAGCTGAATTTGAATAAAAAAGAAAGAATCTTGCAACGTTATACAAATATTACAATCAATACAAAATCATAGAAAAGGACTACGAAAATACCATAAGAAATTCTGTCAAAAAGTCGCAAAATAAGGGCTTCAAACCAAACAAACACCTTCAAATAAAACTAACTCCTCTTCTGATGTAATTCTCTCCTTATGGAAATTGTTAGAGGGATTTTATGGGAAGAATTTTCTAAGATTTTGTCCACTGGCTTGGGCTCCAAGAAACTATTAAAAAAATCCTGTGTGCTCCGCCCTTTTATAGTATCAGCGGTATCAATAAGCCGCGTTAAGTACGGGATTGGTTCGAGTTGGGCTCGAAACTTATGGGCCGGTCCGACTTCGACCGAAACTTGAAAATCACGGTCCGAATTAGGTTAGAATATTTGATGGTCACCTAGCTATATAAGTTGATTCTCATTCTTTTTAAATTTTTTTTTTCATGAACATTTTCAATCACACATCTATACAATAAGATATTTTACACGTAAATTTAAAAAATCCCACTTTTTAACTATACATTCTCATAAAACACTATTCAAAACTATTTTAAAAAAAAAAATAGCTCCAAATAGTGGCTGAGTTGTATCTAGATCACTCCTTTTTAATTTGAAATAATAAACTCTTGTAAATATATTTATCCATCTTCAATTTGGTGCAAGCAGGTAAGTTACACATTCAATTTGTCAACTGTTCTTAGTTAGCTAACTATAGTTGAACTAGTGGATGAATTATCAACCTGCAGCAAGTGTGCTTTTAACTTATGTTTTTTTTTTTTTTTGGGTAAAATGTGTTTTCTAAGATGGGTGAAGTGTTTTTTTTTTTTTTTTTGCATCCTGGACAAAAATGATCAAATTTGAAAGTAAATCAAAGTTAAGACATCAAATTATAGATGATTGACCAGATTTAAAAGAGAATCGAAGTTGGACTATCAAATTGTAACAAATAAAAGATGAATGACTTGAGTCCACCTTCTCTCCAAATTGATTGACCCCTGGTGTAGGGACGGATCCTGGATTGGATCAAAGACCAGGCTACAAAATTTCAAATTGGGCTAATATGCGAAAAATTTTTACGCATGAAAAACTGTTTTAAGAAAAAAAATTGTGCCTTTGATGGGGCTACAGCCCAGCCCCCCACTGTATCCATCCCTACCTTGGTGCATTTTAAGCCCGTTTATAAACTCATTGGCAATGATATCTTCCGTATACTGAAAAATCAATTGTTCATTTCTCTCTAAGGGTGTGTTTGAGCCATATTATTTTGGAAAAATGTATTTTGGAATAGTAGATTGATAGAGAATGTGTGGTTGAAAAATAAATAAAAGTTATTGATGTGATGAAAAATCTTATTTTATTGAAGAATGTGTAGTTAAAAATGAGTAAAAAAATGCGAATAAAAAATTTAATGTGGCTAATTCTCTTTTCCGAGTATAAAGTTTTCTACATTAATTGGACCACTTGAGTTTGACCTAGCCAATAATGTCTTTTTCTTTCTCTTCAAAGTTTTGTAGCTCAATACTAGAAAATTCAACCTTCATTTGCCTAACTTGACCACTCTCTCCAAATGGACGAGGTATAAATTCAACCACACATTTTTTCAAATTTTTTTTTACGATTTTAAAACCTTTTTTCTCCAAAAAAAAATAGTAAACGAGGGCTTAAGAGCAAGAAAGGAGCAAAACTACTTGACCTCCACCATTTAAGGGACAATAAACTCATTAATCAAACCAAAAGATAAGGAGCAAAGAACCAAACTTCTACTGTTTCTTTTAAGGGCTATTTAATTATATAACAGTTACTTATCAACACATTTAATTAACCTCGGAATTTCTTGATCTTAAATAACTAATGAAAACTTACTTGCTCACATCATTTATTCATTTATGAGAAAAAGAAAGACAATTCCATGTTGCAACTTGGAAAGTCATCGGTCGTATTTTTCAAGTCTTATCACCAAATTTACAACTCATAGCATATAATACATCAACTTCCTCTGTTCCGCAGTCTTGATTCAAGCTTTAAGTCTACGAATGCAGGGTTTTGATGACGGTGTTTTCGATTTTTACTGAGCATTGAGAATCCCAGGTTCGTCAGTTTGTCGTTTTTCTCTTCTGCTTGTGATCATAGCAAGATGGGCTGTTCTTAATGGGTATTGAAGCCGTTTGTGTTCCCTATCTTGTTTGAGTTTTATTTTTCTTATTAAGTGCTGTAATTAAGCTTTCTTTATGGTGGTGATGTGATTAGTTTAGCTATTAATGAATGGTGGGTTTTGATATGTGCATATATAATATTCGTGGGGTAAAGATGGTGTTTTTTTTAGGGAAAATTAGTTAGCATGATAGTATGAAATGTTTAATTAGTCAGTAGTTCATCCTTATTTAACAGTAGCATGTGATTAAGAGCTTGTTTGTGAGGGATCAAAATCGGATTAAAATTGAAAAACTAGATGTTATTGTTGACTTTTATTAGAGGGTGTGATCCAATAACGACTATATTTTCAATTTTAATTGGATTAAAATCCCTCTCAAGCAAGCTCTTAATGAAAATCGGGGAGATGCAACCACCTGTTTTTAAAAGCTATAGCCGGTGGGAGAGGCACAATAAAACTCTATATCACCCAGTACCAGCCGAGAATCGATCTGAAGGCGAAGCACTATTCGTTTGGCCTTTGAAGAATCCCTTACGAAATAGGCCACCCTCAAATTCAAGTGCTTGCATCAGTTGTGTGTTGATCCTGTTAACTTGAACTGTAGTTAGATTTTGTGTCCTAGAAAGATATGAACTAATCAAGATTTTAGTGATAATGACCAACAATTAATCTCATTTACTTATATGTGGGAATAGACTAATAAGATCCTTCAATGGTAATTAAATCTTGGTAGAATGGACGAGTTTATTGTTATGAACACTCCATGGCATCTAATTTTTTGCAAGTTTTTGGTTGAGGGAAATTTCAAGAGTTTTCTCTATGAATTCCAACTTTGTTTCTTTCATTAGAATTGAGAATGGATGCTTATGTGCAAAGGGCAACTTTTTTCAAACTTGAGACTGTGTTACTTAAACTTTATCGTCGTGTACTTTGATTGGTACTAATTATCAGCCTTTACCACCAGTATGTATCTTCAGTAAAATGATAAATATCTTCTCTGCAGTTATATAATTTAAAGATGGATGCTTCTGAAAAAGATGAGGTGCCTATGCTATCAACGGCGCAGTTGCTATCCAATGAGCGCAATACTCCAATCTGGATTTCATCCATGACTAGGAGTGCGTCAATGTCTCTCCCTACGAACTCCATGGACTACTCCGAACATGGAAACAATCTTGTAGGATTCACTGGTCCATTAAGAAATGGAAGGCAAACTTCATTTAAGCAATTGAGTGGCCCTTTATATGTTAGCAATAAACACATAGGCAACTTGCAGCCTAACCAAGGTGCATTAAGGCGCAAAGCCACTGAGTCTAACTTTGAAAGATATCCTTCACTTGATGGGATGGTGCGTAATGGTTGGCAAGAGGACAACTATGCAGGAAGAAATGAACATCTTTTGAGGTCCGGGCAACTTGGAATGTGCAATGACCCATATTGCACGGTATGCCCGAGCAGTTACAATTTTAAGGGGCAGCAGAAGATTTCGAGAACATCAGATATATTTGACACTAAGGTATTAAACTCGTACTGCTAAAGAGTTCAGGTATATATTTTTGGATTGAAGAAAGAAGTTTTGAGTGATGGAGGAACTTCGATTTATTGCGTATATGTTCTTGTATTGATTTAATGCTTGTCCGGTAGGCAGTTATCTCTTCTTATTTACTTGTCTAGTGAAAATTACTTACAGATTATGCTTAAAACAAGTAACACTTATAATGGAAACTTGGGAGATGCGCTCATGCTTTTTGATTTTCGGACTCTTGTTTGCAGTTCCACAATGTCCTTTATGGAGATGCAAAAGGTTGGGTAAAGAGAATTTGTTCTTTCATGCGCCCTTTTATTCCAGGAGTAATGAATCCTCATACAAAAATTGTTCAGCAGTGGAACAAGTTCTTCGTAATTTCTTGCTTATTTGCAATATTTTTAGACCCGCTATTCTTCTTTCTGCTGTCAGTGATTCAGGTATAGTTCTGAAAGTTGGTTGTTTATAATATGTTATGTACTTGCATTCCTGACCAGATTCATGCCTTTCATAAACTTCATTTTTTTGTGCCTATTCCTTTTGATGTGTTACTATAAAAGCTCATAAATGAGCTAGTTTATATCATATTTACGTGTTACCTTTTTGGATCAGGATAACAAGTGCATGGTATTAAACTGGCCCATGACGACAACAGTTGTGGTTTTGAGGAGCTTGACTGACTTCATTTACGTAATTCACATCCTTCTTCAGGTAATTAATCATGGTCAGTGAATAAACAAATAGAATAAGATGTTACTCTTAAGTTC